TGGATCCAGTGCTGTTGCCGACACTTGATAGCTGAGGAGCTGCACTGGGCTCTTTCCTATGAAAATGAAGCAAGACAAAGATGCTCCTTAGAACAGCTAGACCCCCATTTCTTTGGGAAAAGGAGTCAGAACAGGGGTAAGATTTTAAGGAAATAACTACAGCTGCAGATCAGAGGTGGCCGTCCCCTTACGATTACAATTGGGGAAAGAATATTCCTTACTAAGCAAGACAGCCATTAAGCATGCCCAATTTTGCAACTTTTTTTGCCACAGTTGTTAAAAGTGAATCAGGCAGCCGTTAAGTGAATCATTGCTAAATGAACTGTGATAAGTCAAGGACTATCTATATCTCACTAGCATGGATTTGCAAAGAAACCGGACTGAATAATCATCATTAAGCCAAATCACTCTCTTCTTAAAAAGCAAGCTATTATTTCTTTACCCCAAGTTATTCATGTTCCAGGCTGTATGCATGTTACAACATCAAATGAAGGTGAAAATCCTGTATTTCTGAGGAATAATTGGCATGTTGATCTAATGTTTGTAGCAATCCAGCACAAAGAGCTGTGGTGGCACAGTGGTTAAAATGCAGTACTGCAGGGCTAACTCACTGCTCATTCCACAAGTTCAATCCTGACCAGCTCAAGGTTGACTCAGCCTTCCATCCCTCCAAGATTGGTAAAATGAGGACCCAGATTGTTGGGGGCAATATGCTGACACTGTAAACCGCTTAGAGCGGCTGTAAAGCATTGTGAAGAGGTATATAAGTCTAAGTGCTATTACTAGTGCTATTGTCAGTCTGGTATAGACTCTCTGCAGTTATACTAACACGGAGCAATTTCCAAATTGTAGGATGACATTGTTAAAAGGAAACTGCTTTTGAAAACCTGTCTAGAATGGGAATGTTTGGGAGCGGGAGGGTGTGGGAGCCTACAAATACAGGTAGTCCTCGACTTACAACAGTTCGTTGAGTGGCTGTTCAAAGTTACAACAGCAATGAAAAGTGACTTATGACCATTTTTCACGCTCATGACCGTTGCAGCATCCCCATGGTCACATGATTTACCTTTGAATGCTTGACAAGTGGTTCATATTTATGACGGTTGCAGTGTCCTAGGGTCATGTGATCACCTTTTGCAACCTCCTGACAAGCAAAGTTGATGGGGAAGCCAGGTTCACTTAACAGCTGTGTTACTAATTTAACAACTGCAGGGATTCACTTAACAAATGTGGCAAGAAAAGTTGTAAAATGGGGCAGAACTCACTGAACAAATTTCTCAGCAACATAAATTTTGGGCTCAATTGCACTCGTAAGTGGAGGGCTACCTGTAGTATTTTCAAAGGTGACAGAAGAAAGTAGCAAGATATTCCAAACCATTTCTCAGTTCCTGAGGGTTAGCATGAAAGAATTTTATTTTTTTAAATTATTTAGACCTCGGACTACTTAAAACAGGGGTGTCAAACTCACATCCTCACGGCAGCGTCACATGACATATCGGGACTTCCCCCCCCCCCTAAACCAGGCATGGGCATGGCCAGTGCGTGACACATCTGGCCTGTGGGCCGGGAGTTTGACAGCTTTAGAACTTTAAACACATTAAAGCTGAATCTAAACCTGGAAAAACATGTGACGGTGCTGGTGAGACTGGAGTTACTGGGGTCCAGCTGTCAGGCTTATAGGGAAAAAATGTTATAGTGATAGGAAGGGAGGGAAGAGGAGCAAAGGGAGGATGCAGAAAAACCTGGGAAGAAAATACTCACGTGGAATCACTGGGTGGGTTGTGTGACATTGTCTGGTTAGGCAACAACTGGTTGCCGCTGCTTAGTGTCGAATCTGAGCTGCTGTCAGCTACCACGGAGCTGTAACCTGGCAGGAGACAGAAAGGCTAAAGATCTCTCTAAGCACAGAGCTCTGGATCTCTCCTCTTGATNGGGAGATCATTCCAAAGGTTCTATGGACAAATTTTTTGAAAGCTGCATTTGCCCAATTAGCAATTTAAATTCCAATAGATTAGGCAGTGGAATGATGACAGATCCACCAGCTATACCATGATGACAATTCTAAAAGGCACAAGGCATTCAAGACATATGGGGACAGTGTTTAATAAAGGCCAAATTAATAGGGGTTGTTGTTAGTTGTGAAGTTGTGTCTGATCTATCGCGACCCCATGGACAACATTCCTCCTGTCCTCTACCATCCCCACCTACCAATAAATAGGGATTATCTCTAGAAAATAGATAATGAGGGGGAATAATTTATTAAAAAGTAATTAGTCAGTTGAATAAAATCAGTGTGCTATTACACATATATCAGGAATTCAGCTTTCAGCACATGAAAATATCTAAGTGACATCAACAGGTTAAAAAAACATCTGAACCAGCAGAAATTTAAGATCTGGCAGTAGGAAGAAAAAGAATATTTTTTGAAAAAAACAACTACAGTACTTTTAGAGTGATTGGTACTTAATTGGTAGACTCTGTCAGTCAGAAGTGGAGATAATTATGATATCTTGAAGAAGGTTTCATCCATTGCAAGGCAGTCAAGAGAATGCATGCTGGTAAAAACCAAGAAAAAATGGTAATTTGCAACAAAATTAAATGAGGCACTCTGGGATTCTGTTTCAGGAGAAAAGAAAATAGAAAAGGAAAAAGAAGTAAAAGAAGAAATACAAATGAGCCTCAGTTTTAACCCATTGATGCTTGTTTAATTGTAGAATTAAATGTTAAATGGTTTGCAAGATGAAATTAGACTACTGAGCCTTTAAGAGAACTGCAGAAAGAGCTTGCCCTACAACTCAAAGATATGTTCATTCAGCCGCAATGGATCCATTAAGCAGTGTGTTCCATTCTCCCAAAGGTGCTTTTTCAAGAGGCAACTGAACTTTCTGGTTTTTCTTTGAAGACGTTTCACTTCTCATCCAAGAAACTTCTTCAGCTCTATCAGAGCTTCTTGGATGAGAAACGAAACGTCTTCAAGGAAAAAACCAGAAAGCTCAGTTGCCTCTTGAAAAAGCACTTTTGGGACAACCATGACCTGGATGATTGAGAATCTCCATAGACAGTTTGTTCCATTGTATTTATAAATGATTTGTGGTGCATGTTTGCATACAAGTGCCACCTGCCTTTCAGAGGTGGGATTCAGCCATTTCAGACCTGTTCAGGTGAATTGGTTCACTCTGACAATCAGGTTGGCTCGCCCTTGCACTTTACTTACCTGTTGTGGCCCAGCAGGTGACGTTGGAGCTGCCACCAGACTCCGACAGCGAGGGGCCCTCTGAGTCAGCTCTGGAGGATGTGGAAGACCCTGGACAGGGTTCCGACT